CTAATTGAAATATGCCCTAATCTAACCATCATAAGCAGGTAAATAAAAGGGAAGAAAGACGTGGGGTTGGAAGACATACATCACACTCACCCACACTTATTACAACATTGCCCTCGCGCAGAGGGTCCGAATAAATATACAGTCCCGAGTAAAAGAATATTACAGTCCAAATATTGTACAAATTCCTAATTAATTAACAAATTAACTAAGAAAACTGTAAACTGGCATGCAAGCCAGGGACTGCCTTGACTCCGCTCCGGATTGATGAATGATGCATGCCCGGGTTGCCTTTGTGCGGAAATCCATGACGATGCCCCAATTAGCCTCTGTTTACACCTTTTCTTGAAATGCGTGCCAAGCTCCAAAAGGTCGTTGATTCTTCATTTGGCTGCAACAGAGAGCAAGAAAGGGGCATGGCAATGTATTTTCACAAATGTATGCATGCCTCGATCCTCGTGCCACCAATCACGCATATCGATGCATGATGGCAGAGGAGTCAAAATGTGCAGCTCAATATAGAATGAATGCATATGAAAATACAACTAAAACCTAACTCCACCATGGATAATCCGGAGTGTCGGTGACTGGGGAATTTGAGACACATTCCGTCACTCGGAGTACGAAATGTACCTCGTTTCCCGCGCCCGGGCTAACTCCTATTCCGAACGTAATGCAGTATGCATGACATGCATGAATGCAACTAAGATACAGCCTAGTATGCACTATGTTGTGAAAATGAGATGCCTCAAAATGCGTGCACACAGGCACGCAAACTGAGAAAATGACAGAAGGCGATCTAAGATACAACCTAGTATGCACAATGCTTATGAAAATGAGATGTCTCGAAATGCGTGCACGTGAGCACGCAAACCGAGGCAATGGCATGCGCAATGCAATATGGCTAAAATGGCATATAGAATGCAACATGGACTTATACTATCATGAGAGAGCCTCAGCCACACTCACATAAGAGGCCGATGGATAAAAATGAAGTGCCTCGAAATGCGTGCACACGGGCACGCAAACCGAGGCAATGGCATACGCAATGCAATATGGCAAAAATGGCATATAGAATGCAACATGGACTTATACTAACATGAGAGAGCTTCAGCCACACTCACATAGGATGCCGATGGATGAAAATGAAGTGCCTCGAAATGCGTACACACGGGCACGCAAACCGAGGCAATGGCATACGCGATGCAATGTGGCTAAAATGATATGCAAACATGCTAATGGAATTTTAACACTGAAATATGGGGGAAAACAGCCCCGAAATGAGGCGAAAGCACACCCGATGCATGGAATCTCTCCCGAAATGCAAATTAGGCGCATAGAATGAACTACAGCTATACAAAGCATGCATAATTGATACATGGAATGAAAATACAGAAGCAAGGCAGCCCCAAAATTAGTATTTTACTAGTACAAATCATGGCCAAACAGCAAGCAAAGATAGGGCAACAATGGCATGCAAAAATGGCCCTAAACATGAGATTATGAAGCAACTCACAGCTGCTAACTCCAAATAGGTTAGGGCCCTTCAACAACATTGAAGAGGGGCCAAAAATAAGCCACTTTACAGAACTGTAAAAACCCTAAAAACAAACATAGATATGGCTAAGCTCTTATGCAAGAAAAAGGGCCAAAAGGTGGCCAAAGAGGCAAGTGGTATATGAAAAGCCCAAACTGAAAAATTCCCTTCTAAAACATTGAAGAGGGACCAAAAATATACATATTTACAGAACTGTAAAAAATCCAAAAGAATATACAAACATGCTAGAAATGCAATGCAAAATGAGGCTCAAAAGAGGCTATAACACAAAGTATACAAAATATTCCACAAACGGCCAAAGACCCTTAATGAAACATGAAGAATGGGCCAAAATAAGACTATTTCTAGCTCTGTAAAATGACCAAATATGGAAGCATAATGGGCTGCCAAAGCATGCAAGAAAATGACATTCAAGGAGGATATTGAAGCAAGTGCAAGATGGGGGGCTCAAACAAGGTTGAGCCCTTAATGAAACAAGAAAATGAGCTCAAAAAAATGACCTTTTCAGTTTTGGTCGGAGCTCAAATCAAAAAGCATGTATGGCTTACAAATGATACAAGAAATGGACCAAAAAAGGGGAAAATGAGACTCACCCTTGAAGACAAGCCTTTAGCAACTCTTGGCTTGAGTTTGTAGCACCCTTAGGCCTTGGAGAACACCTCCTTGCTGCTGGAAATGGAGGATGGAAGGGTGGGGGTTGGTGGTGTAGAAGAAATGGTGGTGTAGGACTTAGAGGTTTTTCAAGGAAATAAGAGAGATGGAGGGAGATTTGTGTATCAAGGCTTGAAGACCAATTTTTCTAACCCCCAATACCAATGCTTGCAGCTGGTTATAAGGACCAAAAGGAGGGGGAGCATGGAAGGAAAGGGTGGGGGAAAAGGACCAAGGCTTTCCCCCACAAAATATCCCCCGGATTGAGATATTTTCTGGGGGAAACAGCTATACAGCTGTAAAGTGCCTTTTGTGAGGAACATGGCCGGCTGGTTTTTGGACTTGCAGGTGGCCGGCGGCCACCTCCCTAGCCGGCCGGCCAAGGGTCAAAAAGGCCAAGTTCATTTAGTGGCCGGCCACCACATAAAGATGTCCTCCAGGTCCCCTAATCACAACCCTGTGGTTCGAATTTGGAAATTGTAAAACAAGAGAGAGAATAGGCCATTTTTAAGAGGGGTTCAAAAGGGTCAAATGGAATTTCTGGCCGGCCATATGATATTAGGTATCCTCCCATGTGTGTACATCACAAATATGTGGTTTGGGGTTGAAGAAAGTGGCCCCAAGGTGTTCAACATTGGCTCGGGAGTGAGAAAAACGGGTGTCGGAGGGCGAAAATGGAATATAACTGGTTGCCAAGATAATTTTTGGCCTCCCACCCTCCAGTGACCTTTCTGGTGATGAAACAGAGGCACCTGCCAAAAATGAACGAAAATCGATGCAAAACGAATGCTCGGGGGCCAAAACACGCAGTTCGAGATCCCGAAAATGGGCTGCCAAGCACCGAAAGTGGCGTTCGGCCACGAAGTGGGTTTCTCAAACCCCAGTGTCCCTCGAAAGGGAGTAAATAAGATGCATGCCAAAATTTAGAGCAAACGGAGATGGTTAAGCGGTCCCGAACCGAGGCACACGGCCAACGGTCCCGAAAAATCGGAAACCGGGCTCCGAAATGGGCAAAATGGCCTACGGCCACCAAATGTAGCCCACGGCCAATGAGAGACGGTCTACGGGACCTCTCCCTCCTCTCAGGAAAAGAAACAGAGAAAATCGAGCCTGATTCGCAAACCGAGGCAAGGCACAGAAGAGGGTTCGGAAATCCAGAGGCAGGGCTGACGGCCAAGACTCTGAGACTCCTGAACGAGCACATTATGCAATATCACCAAGCGCCCGATTGGTGACGTCTGAGTCTTAAGGTCGGTCAAAAATGGGGTGTCTACACATGGAGAATCAAGGAGGGGAGAATCCCAGAAGACACGTCGAATCAAAAAGGGCTGTAGAATGATGCTTGGGAGTTGGAATTTACAAGCTAAGGTTGGTTTAACACTTGTTGAAATTTAAATTTACAAGTTGAAGTTAAACCGATATCATGTTTAACACTTGTTGAAATTTAAATTTACAAATTAAAGTTAAACCGAAAATATGTTTAACACTTGTTGAAATTTTAAAAATTTACAAGTTGAAGTTAAACCGAGGTCATGTTTAACACTTGTTGAAATTTTAAATTTACAAGTTGAAGTTAAACCGATGATGTGTTTAACACTTGTTAAAATTTAAATTTACAAGTTGAAATTAAACCAAGGATGTGTTTAACACTTGTTGAAATTTAAATTTACAAGTTGAAGTTAAACCAAGGAAATGTTTAACACTTGTTGAAATTTTAAAAATTTACAAGTTTAAGTTAAACCGAGGTCATGTTTAACACTTGTTGAAATTTTAAGAAAAATTTACAAGCTAAAGTTAAACCGAAGTCATGATTAAAGGAATGAATGATATAGGTTCCATCACCTCAGGATGCCTAGGTAATAGAACCTAGGGGCAGTTGTGAGGACATAATTTTTGAATGACAACACGTGGTTGAGGTGTCACCGAACTGCCAGCCGAGGTGCCACGTGTCTTGGTCATAACACCGAGATCATCTCGGCTAGGCTGAGGTTATCTGCGAAGATACTGAAATCCGAGATAAGTGGATAAGGGACAAGAGTCCTAGAATGAGAAAGGATTTCAGTTTGGGTAAAGATAAGACTCTTAGAGAGTTTATCCCAATCCTACTAGGAGTCTAAGATTAGCAGTAATCCTATTGGGATTAGGTAAGTGTTGGCTAATAAAAGAGAGGCACTCTCATGGGTCTGAGGTATGCTTTTTATGTTCTGAATAGTGAGTTAAGTACTTTTGCTATCTTTGAGAGATAACTGACTTGATTGTCGGAGTGTCCCGAGTGGACGAACCACCGCTGAAATCTCTTCTTTTATATGACAGGTCGTTCGGACAATCTATTCTACCAGTATTCTCCAGCTGAGTACCAGTTTGACAGTGTAGTTAGATATTGACACACAGTTTTTACTAACCTAAATAAAACAGTTCATATAAGACTATTTCCCACGCTACATTTAATGTTTTATCAAATTTAAATTTAATAAAAATAATAATTGTTTAACTTTCAATCCTTCCATCAAACTCAAATAAAAAATGAATCAAAACTTTCATTAAATAAGGTGAGTCTTTTATTTTTCATTAAATTTAAATCGTTACCTTTGAACGGAACATCTTCTTGATGTCTACCCAAAAATAATTTTTGACAACTTTTTTTTATCGATGTTTAGATAATTTTCAGGACATTCACACTGATATTTTTCCAGACAATCGAGAATGTAAAATAATCTTTTAATATTGAAATGAACGGTATCTAATTAAATTTTTTTTTCAAATTTTTACTAATGAAATTTTTAATTCAAACGTGGGAGATGCTCAGCAATAGGATTACGGGTACGGGTATTTCTTTACTGCCCCAATTCCTCTCTGTCTCTCTCATTCGGTCCGTCCGTGAACCGCGATTCCCACAAGCACCGACCAATCAACTTGCGACTACCGGCTGCCGTCGCATCTGACGGTGTCAGTCTTCCGGTTCACAATCTCCGGCTGCCGGTTGCCGGTGCCCGTCACAGTCTCTGTCTCACTCTGCGGCTCTCTCTCAGCCCATCAGGTAACCACGACATGCTTTTCAAAAAGCAAGTGACATTATTTCAAGCCCTTTTTCTTTCAATTGACTCATTTCAGCTCGTTTACCTTACAGGGTTATGAATGAAATACTAGTATTTATTTTATTATTGGTTTTTGTAGGAACCCAAACCTTCGATATTTTTTTAAGTCTCTAATTTGATCTATCTCTCCAGCTTACCAAAAACAAATGACACAAAATTAGCATTGTGGGGGTTGGGGAAACTAAAACTACACTATTAGTATTTAGTATATTTCAATCAAATTTGTTTATTGGAAACGTGTAAGGGAAAGTGAGAGTTTGGGTGTTGGTGGTGGTGCTGCTGCTGCTGCTGCTGGAGGGGAAAAATAATTTTATACGCGTCTCGTCTAACTCTCTGGAAATCATGTGTTTTCCGGTCTATTATTTACTAAATTACTATTCTTTTGCACTCGGTTACATTATTGGCCTTGGCCATAGGCATATAAGTCCCTTACACACCCTCTCCTTGCAAGCCGATTAGGATTTTGAAGGGTTAGTTCTACTGAATGGGCTTGTATCATTTGGTATCACTGAGCCAAACTACCACATCTCAGTATAGGATCGGACGCACCTATGCAATTATGGGATCTTATGGGTGCGGCTTTGTGGTTGAGGTTGTGGACGAGGCGACCCATAGGCTGGATTAAGATGTTATGCAGGTGTCAAATACTAATAGGTGAGTGAAGCTTTCGAAAGGGAAAAGGGCTCTAGCATCGGGTCAATGTCAATAAAGTGGGTCCCCGTGGATGTCTGCTGCGGATCGTGAAGGTATGTTACAAGCCTGCATCAATTAACATAACGTTCACGGTGTAACAAGATCGAGAGTATTGACCCTAGCTGCTAATAACGGTGGAGTGGGTGAACTAAAAGAACGTAAAGCCATGGTAACCCACCATTGCCCCCCGCCGCTCCTTCCCTATCACAGCATTTATTTCACTAATTTTAAGTTGGTTTGGAATTTTTTTTCTTTTGTTGGATGTATTTAATTTTCTTTACTTTACCAAAGACGACTTTCTTCTTGTATGTGGGGAAAAATCAGGAAGCATGTTTAATATTAAAAATGATAATTTCATAAACACAAGTTCATGGTACAAAATGTCAAACATACTAATGTGAATGTATGTAACATGATATCCAAATTTTGTTCAATGAATTTAACCTAAAATCAAATAGATATAAGTTAATAACTAAGGAATCAAGTGAGAAAGTAATGGAAGGTAAAAAAAGGAGAAGAAAAAAGAAAAACTAAGCTAATCTAATCTTGATAGCAACTTAAATATTGTTGTAGGTCATGAAGATTGGAGATTGAAAGCATATAGATCTAAGAATTTCGCATAAGTTCTAGATGTTTTTTAAGTGATTTAAACTAGTAAAAAAAAGAGAAAATTGGCCTTATATACAAAATTGCTAAAAATAAGCATAATGGCCATAATGATGTTGTAACGACGGTTACGGCTTTTATGTAAGGGTAGCAGCTGACAGCTGTTACACATGTGAATTTTTGTCACACTGCTATAGCAACCGCAATGGGTGGTTGTTACCATCAAAACTGTTGCTGCCGATCTTTAAAACCTTGGTTAAATTAATTCGCATTTGCACTCTCTAAAAATTAATTTTGCAAAAGATTTCTTGAAAATTCACCAAACCACAAATTGTGAGCATGTACGCCACTGCACCATAGTCAAACCAGCGCTTACAGGAATGTGTTTTACTTGTTCTCAGGACAGACTTTGATATAATTTTGAAGACAAGCTTTGAGGATTTGTGACTGTTATTGTCGTTGTTGCTGTTGTTGTTATTATCATGATGGCTGCTGCTATGTATTCCCACTCCCTTCAATCTCTCAAAGTTTATCCAGGAGGCAACTTCTTCTCTAGGAGGGAATATTGCACAACAAGCCTTAAAAAGAATACATCCTGTCTTGTCGTTGCTGGTATTCCAAAATTGCGTAAAGATCTTTTTGTTGCATCATCTGAGGTACTGCAATTAAAATCTCTGTGCAAGCTATTGTTTTCTTAAGGTTTCTGTTATGCATTGATGAATTTGTTATTGTTGTTGGCTACAATATGCTGAAAGTTACAGATATGTTGAATATAAGACTGAGTTTTTTCTAGTAGAAAACGTCTTAGGATATAGAACTAGTAATTGTATACAATGAGTAATCTGATCAATACAAACAGTGCGATAGATAAATGCTGAGGCATATTTCATTTATATTATGTAGCCTGCGTTAATCCATATGAAGCAATCATGGGTGCAATTGCTAACAATAGAGTGCTGAATGGTCGACAAACCTACCTTGCATTGCTAGGATTATGTGAATATCACATCATATAGTTTCAAGTCTAGGACTTTTACAAGAATATTGTGAGTGGAGTTCCTCATAAAGGGCCATCTAAATTCATACTATGGATTTACTTCTGTATTTAAGAGATTGTAAACCTGAGAAAAAATGGAATTAGCAGCATATGCCTATGTTGATAATTTAAATCAATTAGTGTATTTTTTATTTTTTTGGAGAATCCGTGTCGAAATTAATTTCAGTAAGTGTTTTTACTTTGACTTGCATAGAAATTTTTAAATCATACCTTGACATAACCTTTAGTTACCTTAATATTATCCCCCTTGCCATAATCCCCATGACACCATGAAGTGGCATTTTTTTCATGATGATATGTTTTCCATGGTATAACAGAAGAAAAAAAAAAATCTTGTTTCCTTTTTCTTCGTTTCTTTCTTTGTTTTTTTTTTTTAAAAAAAAAAAAGAAGTAAATTAATTAAAAAGAGGGGATAACTATAAAGCTAGCTTTTAATTTCCTTCTTCGTTTAAATTTTTTTTTTCTTTTTAAAATTGTTCAGCATAATTTTTAATATTCAGCAAATTCTGAATTCTAATACGTTTTTATCTTTAGATAATGAGTGCTCAAGGCTCAAATACCAGATGTAGTCAGGTTTCTACCTTAGTGTCTTTGTGGCTGGAACTGTTGCAAGTCTGGAAAAGGAAAAACAGAAATGGGGAATGTTGACGGATGGGTTCCTCATCAATCATTTAGATATCTCTCGGTGGAGTCCAGTGTTGCCTAAAAATTTGCAATCAATAGTTATTTGAGCTACATCTGGACCCTACATCTCCTTATAATTTTATCGGCCAGTAACTCAAGAGAGTAGATAATACTTTTTGGAATTAGGGCTTGCATTTTCTGCCCCTTTATACACCGTTAAGGTTGGGTTAGTTCCATAACTATTGACACCAATAATTCATATGCACTCGAAAATAGACTATGTGTCTTCTCTAAAGGCAAATGATATACAATTAAATTGATCAGTGTATTTTTTATTTGTTGGTGAATCCATGTAAAAATTCATTTCAATTTTTTCTTTGACTTGCAGTAGATACTTCAATATTGTCCCTCTAGCCATAATCCTGATTCTGCAAAGTATGACATTCTGTTGGTGATAATATTTTTGCCATGGTAACATGGAAAAATAAGAGTCTCGTTCCTTCTTCTTCTTCTTCTTCTTCTCTTTTCATTGGTTTTAAAAAGTGAAAATTGTAATTCTAGCTTTTAATTTCTTCCTTCATTTATTCTTTTTTATATTGTTCAGCATAATTTTTAATATTCGGCAAATTTTTTTGTTGTCATTTTTTATCTTTAGCTAACGAGTGCTCAAGGCTTAAATACCAGACATAGGTTTCTACCTTGGTCTTTGTGGTTGCAACTGTTAGAAGTCTGGAAAAGGAAAACAGATGGAAAGTTGACTGATGCGTGTTTCATCAATCATTTAGATATCTCTTGATGGAGTCCATCGTGGCCCGATTATTTAAAACAATAGTTATTCGAGCTACATCTGGACCCTACTCTCCTTATATATCAGCTAGTAACCTAGGAGAGTAGATAATACTTTCTAGAATTAGAGGTTGCATTTTCTGCCCTTTATACACTATAAGATTGGGTTAGTTCTATAAATGTTGTTGACACCAATAAATCCACCCCTTGTTTCAAAGTCGGCAGTTTTGTTATATGGGAATTGTTCTTTTTAGCAAGCAAATTCTGTTGGCCTTGTTAATGCACATTAGTAGAACGTTTAATGTGGTTTACTGAACTGTTTTTTGAACAGTTGGTAACATGAGTGGCTTGATTTATGGATGGATGGATGGATGGATGTTTGCACATGATACTCATATTACATCAGAACAGTATGAACATGCTTCGATTAATTGAAAAAACAAATCTTCTCGCGGAATTTGACTAGACATTGCTAGGTGTCTCACCACATGCATGATTGTGGGAACCGTTGAATATCTGTCAAAGGAAGGAAATTTATTGGAACACCGAGGAATAGGGAGAAGTTATACAATGGTAATGGTGATGACGGTGTACTACTACTCCCTTTAGGTGAGGTTATGCAGTTTCAATGTCCCAAAGCCACCCCACTTTGCAGAGAAGGGCATCTAAATAATTCTTTCATCATAAGAAAGTTATGCCCGTTGTTGTTCCTTGCAATCTACCCCTCCCAAATCTCCATCCAATGGGGACTAAAACCATGCTTAACCTCCATCCAATGGGGCCTAAACTAGGCTTACCTTTTTTATGCCCTATTGCATTTTTCTTTACTTCTCCTATTATTTGTTCTTCTGTCTCCTTATGATCTGACTTTTAGCCTATTCAAATTAATGAAGTATCTAACAAAGTTGAATTCTAGGTTGATATTTTGTTAGACAATGTGAAATGGGATGACAAAGGTTTGGCAGTTGCAATAGCCCAAAATGTTGACACAGGAGCCATCTTAATGCAAGGCTTTGTGAATAGGGATGCTCTAGCAACAACCATTTCCTCTCGGAAAGCAACATTCTACAGCAGGTCACGATCAGAGTTATGGACAAAGGGGGAGACCTCAATGAATTTCATTAATATTCATGACATTTTTCTTGATTGTGACCGTGACTCTGTAAGTTATAATCACTTCCATTAAATTATATCATTATGCATATTCATTAATCAATGTTTACCCTATTTATTGGATTTACCTATTTTCAGATAATATACCTTGGGAAGCCTGATGGCCCTACTTGCCACACAGGGGCAGAAACCTGCTATTACACATCAGCTTTTGATTTCTTGAAAAATCCACAGGTTCATATACTTTGCTTTTCGCTGTTTTGATTTCTTTTACCAGCAATTTTGTCATTTCAAATTTTTTTTTTTTTTCCAGATAAAATTTGATATTGGTTGGTTATGTAGGTCGAGGAAAGGAAGATGTCTTTGACAACTTTGTACTTGTTGGAATCTACAATCTCCCAACGGAAAGCGGAACTGTCAGGACCACAAAATGAGAAACTCTCGTGGACAAAACGATTATTAATTGACAACAAGTTGCTTTGCTCAAAAATCAGGTATCATGAGTGATATGTTGGATTTGTTAGTTCTGATTTTGTATTCTTCCTTTTTATGAGCTGGATTTGTTTCATTCTTTGCTTCAAATCTTCCCCATCTTCTCTTTTCCAAGAAGGGGGGAAAAAAATTATTAGAGTGAATATGGTTTTATTTAAGTCTGCTTGTAAATTTAGTAACTAAAATGTGCAGAGGGTGAGGGACACTCAGATGTGTATTTCAACTTGAGATCCTTACAAGGATGAAATCTCCTTTTGCAGGGAGGAGGCAGATGAGTTATGCCGAACGTTGGAGGAGAATGAGGATAAGTCGCGGACGGCCTCAGAAATGGCAGATGTGCTTTATCATGCCATGGTTTTGTTGGCACTCAAAGGTGTTAAAGCAGAAGAGGTCTTCCAAGTCCTTAGACACAGATTTTCACAATCAGGCATTGAGGAGAAGAAAAGTCGCAGCAGAGCACAATAAATATTACTTTTTTGTGCTTGTTATTTATATTGAATGCAGTGGTGTAACGCATATTTGGATCAATTTATACTCTGGAGTGGCGTGTTACATCTCCGGTTGTAATATTTTATATTCATCTTCAAAAAGCTTTTAGAGGTTTGGGATGAGACTAACCTTGAGATGTTGGATGATACATGGCCATTAAAAGCTATATATGCACTGCTGCTGGAAAACTATTATGATGGCATGTTATGTTATGTGAATTTTTTGGTTATTATTTTGACAAATCTAATCTATGGATTGTATCTTATTTCAACATCCACTGGATCCATCAAGAATTGCTTGAGAAACTTAACTGGGTTGTTAACAATGGACGGGGACCCCATGCAGATGCAGTTGTTTATACCATCCAAAGTGTTTTGATGCGTATAACAGCATTAGCAATGACCATATCCATCTTACTTCTAGAGAGGGAGAGATAAAAAGAAAGAGATGGAGTTTTGTATTTTTTTATTAATCAATTTATTTTTTCGAGGCCTACTAAGGGCACCAATTTATTCATTATATATCCATCCAATCCAATCCAATCCATAACATACATTGATTATATAATTAATCATAATATTTATCCATGGAGTCGGGGATGGTTGGGGGAGGTTGGGGGGTTGGGTTTAGGGGATGGAGATGGGATTGGTGGCACGGGCAGCTTGGATCCAGCACAACCACTCAGGCAGGTGAAGTTTTGATAACTACATTTAAGCAAGCATGGTACTGTTGTCGCTCTCTGCGCTCCGCAACCCACTGCACATGTTGCCATCTTTGCACCGCACCTTGTCAGGCATTTCCCCAACTTCTTCAGATCCCTATTACTACTACCACCTCCATTGTCACTACCACTACTGTTATTACTACCACCTCCACCTCCACCTCCACCGCAGCTACCGCCTCCTCCACCACCACCGCTACCGCCGCCGCCGCCGCCACCACCGCCGCTAGCATTCACCCCCACCATCACTATGGTGGTGCAGCAGCAGCAGCAGCAGATGCAGCTGCATGATAAAATAAGCAAACCAATTACAAGTTGCGCCACCAATTTGTCTCGTGGACCCGTCTTACGCATAGCGCTCCCTCTCTAATACTTGACACACACACAAAAACAAAGCTTTTGTTAATGCAAACTGTTTATTTCTTGGTAGATTATATATAATACATATATATAAACGCACATTGTAAACATTGTCAATAGAGGATGAGGTTTAGTTTAGTGCAGTGTCCCGTTTGCAACAGAAGAGCTACCCTCCTCATTCAGATAGTGTGGCTAACTGCATGCTTTCTCAACTTGGATTACACCAATACCACACGCCTTCCTCTCTCTCTCTCTCTCTCTCTCTCTCTCTCTCTCTCTCTCTATATATATATATATATATATATATATGCGCCCTAGTGGTATTCGTGTTAATTGAAGTTGCGTGTACCAAATTGTTTGGTGCAAGCTTATGATACAAAAATAATTTAAATAAATATTTTTTTTTTAAAAAAAAATTGATTATTGGTAAGAGATATTTTTAATTTACAACCAGTGTCATTATCTTATACTTGTTAGGGCGGTAAACAAGCTGAATCGAGTCATGTAATAATATTGCCCAATCTTTGACAAGTAAATTTAACGAGTTTAAAAATGTGTATATGTGAGGCCCCTTATCTTGCAATATTTTCTTTAATCCTTACTTTTAAATTATTTCTTTATAGTCCTTCAATTTTTTAATCAATTTTAATTTTAATCCTAGAATCAAAAACATGCGACAACCGAAAACTAGCAAGCCCTAAATTGAACCCGACAACTCAGGAACCATTTCTAAAATCCTAATAATAATTAAAATAATTTTGTAAGTATATTTTCCACACAAAAATCCTAGGTTTCAGTTCTCAGTACAATTCGCCGTTTAATTCAAAACAAATAAATTTTAACCGAATTAAAATTCCATACCTTAAATAAATTAAATACTACACTTAATTAAATGTTCAAATTCATAAATTAAAGCCAAAGCCCCCACATTTTCATCAAATTACAAATTGATCCCAAGTTAGTACCATTACATACATATATACTTATACCTTTCTTAAATAAATAACTTTGTACACAAAATATCTTCAAATTGTACACAAAAAAAATCAAAAGAAATCCCCTCAAATCCACTCCCCAAGGCCGGCTATGCTATGTGTGTGTGTATATATATATATATAAGTGATGTTCTATTGGGAACAAATTGCTTGATTTAGGAAAGAAAATTTGACCTAGGACACAAATAAGATTATATATTGATATATATATATATATATAGATTGTACTTGTAACCAATTCAACTTTGATTAAACCTAAGCCTAACTAGAACATGTATAAAGGTGTAATTAGGGCTCTAATCATCATACATTCCATTTCATCCTAACTAAATTGGAACTAAAGATATTTTGGACTTTTCACCATTCTTTTTTCTCTATAAATACACCAATTATCTCTACAATTTTGAGCACAAAATACACTCACACACTTACATATTTGGCACACAGAGAGAGAGGGAAAAAGAGAGAGCTTTGGTGGTAGAGGAGAGAAAAAGAGAAAAACATTTGTGAAAACTTTTCAACTAGGCAACAAGCAAGTCATATCATCATCTCTCCTATTTATTTTTTCAAATACATGTTATTAGATATTTAAAATCATATTTTCAGATGTGTTGTAATGGTGTTCATGTGTTCAAAGCTGATAAATTAGGCTTTGATCCTTTTTCTACTTATATTTCTTCTTAATATATGCAAAACTATATTTTTCTTCCCATATCTCACATTATTTCCAAAGGCATACTATCACTCTAAAAATCTAAGTTATTGATACATTATTTAGTATGTTTTCATCACAAAAGAAGTAAAAAATTTTAGTTGGCCACTTTGCTCACCAATATTCTTATTTTGAGTATAGTGCATGAAAAACTAGTTTTGCAACCAACTTTCAAAAATTTTAGAAAAATGTAGAACAATCTCCTAGACCTTGGTTTTATGTCAAAAACGTCCTTCAAGATTTATCTTTCAAGTAAAATTGGTTTCATTGAAAAAGAGTGAGCGGTTTGTAAGAAAATTCGATTTTTGTAACGGTCGACGAATCTGGGTAGCGCTGGAATGTTTCTTAAATAACTAAAAATCTAGAAAAGCTATTCCATTTATGAAAGATGTTCTGGAATCTAGATAAAATTATCTATGAACCAAAGGAAGGCCAGACTCGAGAAAAATCTGAAATGATCCTTTTGATTTTGATCTTTAAATGGTACTGAATTTGGAAATTTAGTTTTGTAGTGGTGTTTTATGCTCTTGTCTTCATGAATATGCTTATTAGTATATGATCATGTCCTGGTATGATATTGCATGTGTTATGGTAATATGCCTTTTATGTTAGTCCTTCATCGATGCTTATACTTATGCAAATTTATTCTCTTGTATGTGAGTATTATTATGAGATAAAGTTATGTTCAAATTGAATTGGTTGGAAGTGCGTGTTCTATTTTGAAAGTTAAAGTCTTACGCAAGTGGTTGTTCGGAACCTTTGAATGGAGCGATTGTATTCGGACCCTAGGTGGTTTGGTGTGAGGAGAGAATGAGCAAGGCCCTATTTTACCGTCTCTTTTGAGACCCATGCGGTTAGCGCTACGCAATATATAACCATTGGTAGGCATCCGAAGTAAGGTATGCAACAAAGCAGCAAAAAAGGGTCATACCAAATAATCCACATCCGATTCTTATGGTTGGGAGGATGAAATCTCTTTAGGGGATTTCTACACTGCTAACAGCTAAGCTTGTAACCCATGTCATTTTCTCGAATATCATGTTTCCTTCCCTTTTGTTGTAATTGCTATTGTATATTGGATCGGGAAAAAGGGATGGGGTGTGTATGTGTTTACTGGGTATTCATTACTTATGGCGTTTTATGCCAGGTATCGAAGGAACATACAAGGCCGACAAAGAGTCAGAGACATTTGAAGACTTGCGTCTATTTTATTTATTTTTGAATTGTAATTGTAATGGAACTCGTTTTGTAATTTAAGATTTGAAACAGTGGAATTATTATTTGTTATTGTAATCATATGCCTATCTACGCATTACTTATGAGACCTTGTGTTAATACATCTTAAGATCTGTCAAAAAGATAGCTTACTATCTAAGGTTATTGTCACGACCCAAACCCGCTCTTATACGTTTAGTATCGTAACCGGCCAGTAATTCTTCAATTACCAAAGGCCTCTGAACAGAATAACATATAATTAGGGGCTATGGAAACAAATATATAAAACACATTGTCCATAGAGCTGTACTGACATATATGAGACAGAAATTTAAAACTTTGTATACAAGTATGTGATGTCAAAAATAAAGTCGCCTCACGTCACATTCATTACAAATTGAGCAAAAAAGGAACTGAGCCCCATATACAGATAAACAAAAGTTTGCTCATATAACAATAGAAAACAAAGTCTTAAACGTTTACAAAACATGGCCACAAGGCTTCACTTAATCCGGAACCTCCTCGAGAGGCATAAAATGGTGGCTGACACACCAAAACTCCAGGCAGCAGCTTAGGCTTGGCTACGCGCCTGGTCACCTATATACATAATATAAACAGTGAGTTGAAGCCCAGTGAATAATAACAGAGTAAAGGGTTAAATGAATGATGTCCCACTAGATTCAAAAAAATAGAACAGATTCATATTCACATTCTTGTTTGAATCATATACAGAAATCAGAATTCATCCTTGTTCATATGTGATATATCTATTAGCACAACAGATCAAATACAGAACTTTAAGGGTCATACTTGTCAGTTCCACAAAGGAACTTCCGGTACTAGGAACAGATAACATACTTGTTAATTCCATAAAGAAACCTCCAGTACTGGGAATAGGTAACATACTTGTCAGTTCCATAAAAGAACCTCCAGTACTGGGAACAGATAACATACTTGTCAGTTCCATAAAGGAACCTTCAATACCGGGTATAGATAACATACTTGAGTCATGGAATTGTTGCCACAAATACTTTTCAATATATGAACTATTATTCATTGATACAGAATATAGCATTTCATAAAAACAGATCATTTCTTGTCATATCATATAGGAAAATACTTAAATGTGAACATAGCTTTATGTAGACACCCCATTTTTGACCGACTTTAAGACTCAAGCGTCATCGATTGAGCACTCGGTGATTGCGCATGTTGTGCTCATTTCAAGGTTTCGGAGTT